TGACTCAAAAAAAAAAAAAAAAATATATATATATATATATATATATATATATATTCCATCTAAATTAAGAAATGTGTAATCTAAATAATGCCCTAGGGCATTGGTTCAATGATCATAGCCTAGTGTATGATGTGAAAGTTAGGTGCACATTCCCTTCCATGGACAAAAAGTGCAGTATGTAAGTGGAGAAGGGTACAAGGACAGACCCATTATTCACCAAGTTCCAAACCATGCCTTGATGGTTTGTTCTATGGAAAAATTGCAACCTTGTCCCCATTCCATAAATTGAAGTGATCTACATATTAGGTATCACTGGCATATAAATCTCCTTCTCCTCTTGATATCTACACCCACTGCCCCGCCCTTTTTGTTAATACTTTGACTTCACTCCACCGTTATTCTGCTCCTATGTTCAATAAATTATAGCAACAGCATGGACAATCAACAAGTAAGTTTCTATGTAAGCAAAACTATGCCCTTAACCTGATCATAAATACACCGAGTCAATAAATATACCACTTAATGGATGAGCTGCACTGATCAAAATTATCACTTACATAAACTAGAATTCAAACCAAACATTGTTTTCCTTTGATTGATAAAGATCAACCAAACAACTAAATTTCAACTCTCTCTCAACATAATATAAATGCTGCACTCTAGCTTGATGTATAAGACTTCCTAGTATTAAGAACGTTCGAGTAAGATATATTTCCAGCTAAAATAAATTTCACGTTAGAAAACCTACTACTCGAAAAACTGCAATAACTCTAAATTGTATCAGCCGAAGCAGTATTAATGACACTCAACTTACAAAGCCATGCTTAACCAAGTTTATCACCTTAGTTACTTGACATCCCTTCCCCAATGAACACAACATCCACGTAGACCTACTCGTATTAGTTCACAATCATGAAAATTCACTTCCATAAATTGCTTTTCAATCAATAATTCATGTCGAGTAGAGCTTGTTGTAGTGAGAATTCTTAATTCATGAGCTGTAGGTCATAATGCAGTAACTTAATAAACATTATAAACATGAGTAATTCAAACACGAGCTTAGGTGGATCTTGTATATAAGCAGCATGTGCACCTGTACCCACTATCTTTCAGTGGGAATTTAAACAAGACAAGCAAATTGAACCATTAACATTAAGCTTATGCTTCTAAAACAAAAACATACTAAACAAAACTACTAAAGCTTCAACTTCTACCTCCAATAACCAAAACATTAAACACAAAAAAAAAAAAGTATGCTAATTGAAACACTTTACCTCACAACGAAGTGAACCTCGGACCAAGTTCTGAACATATTCAATGACACTTCGTCTTCGGTTTTCCGATACAGTAGTGGGCTGAACTCTCCGAAGAATGTTCTGAGTGACTTTCTCAGCCACCGCCCACCTCTCAGGCCCAATATCAGAAACACTTAGGTTTGAAGGTATTTCTGGAGAAGACAACAAGAAGGACGGTGACTGTGATGGTACCAACATCTCCTGCTCCTCGACTGTACCGCCGTCGTTTGGTTCCCTAAATACACCCAAAAAATCACAAAAAAATTAAAACTTTGTTATTATCAATTTAATTATAAAACCCCAAATCATTATTTGATGAGAAACTCAGCTGGATTCAATGAAACAACAACTCAAAGTCCCAAAAAAAGAGTAAAGAATGAAAAAAGATTCTAACTTTTTACTCTGAAAAGGGGAATATGGGAGTGATGGAAGAAAAGGGAAAAGATTGAAGGGAAAACAAAAGCCAAAATGAAAGTTGAAATTTCCAAGAAAAATGAAACTCAAAAAACATGAATCAAGAAAGACTAATTTTTCAAAAACTGGGGATTTAGTGAGATTTTAGTAGTTGGTTTTTTTTTGTCCCAGAATCTGTTTTTTTTTTTAATTTAATTTAATTATTTCAACCAAAAACAAAAATGTGTTTTTAAATAGAATTTGCTTTAAAAATGTATTTCTCTAATTTGTAATAATATAATTTTTTTTCTTTTTTTTGGTGTGTGTTGGGGGTTGGGGTCTGGGAAGGAATTAGGTATTTGAGATAATGGTGTATTAATTTTATGGATAAATATACATTTACCATTCTTGATTTTTAGGCAAAAATCATTAAATTGTAACTACTTACTAGTCAATGTAGTTATTTTTTGGTCAAGTCTTGATAGTAATTATTCCTCCTAACTCTTTCAAACCCTAAAACTAATCCTCTCTCACCTACTCTCTTTTGATGGCTTGTATAGTCAATAAAAAATTAAAGGGAAATGAATACTCTGTCAAAAATTAAGGGTGTCAATGGTATTAAAAAATATGACTAAATCAACTAAATTGAACTGATTTTTAGGTTTTTTTCTAAATATAATTGATAATTTTTATATAAATTTATAATCGTATCGAATAATTAGGTAGATTTTTTATTTTATAAAAATTAATCAAAAAAACATCAAATCATAGCGCATAATTAGATTTTAGATAATATTTAAAATAATAAAACATTAAATTTTTTGCTTTAGACCCAGGATAGTGGAAGTGACTACAAGCGACAACATAATTAACACTCAAAGTCATCATAACACAATTATATGAAATCAATATAAAATACAAAATAAAGAAAAATAAATAAATAAATAATACAACATCATTCTTACGGTCTTAATCATTAAAACATCCAATTATATGAAATCAATATATACAATCTTTTGAGCTTTTGTCGATATCCATTTCCACAAGCCACAATCATCATTCAATAGCCTTCATCATATTCTTCCAAATCAAACCACATAATTATCTCTTCTCAACTTCCTCAAAAATGTCTAAATAGAAGAAAAAAAATTCATGAATTTTCAATTACAAATCTTTCGGCTATAAATTTTAAATGACACTAAAATCTACATAATAATGTCTCAAGTCTCTTGAGTTTTTCATCTTTATTGTAATTTTTGGCTAAAAAATCTATTTATTTTCTTATATATTAAATAGAAGTATTGTAAGACATTGAAGAATGACCATATTAGTCTTTCAAATTGTTATGTTTCGGATACTCATTTTATTCATTCTTTAGTTTGACATGAAGAATAAAATGAAGGCTATTGATAGTGATCGGCTTGTCGGAATTATGGATGTCGACAAGAAGATTGTATATTGATTTCGTATTTTTTCTTTTTTAATAATTAAGATTAAAATTGTAAGAATAATGTTTTTTTTTTGTAACTCTCTTTATGATTTTTCTTTGTTTTGTGTTTTATATAAATTTTTAATTGTCGTGATTTATATTTTTTTGGTTCAAAGGAGTAACTCATGACTTTGTTGTAAGTCATCTAACTACTAATCAAATATTTTTTTTCTCTACAAAATCAATTATATATCTGGATAAATATATATTGACATTTTATCGTCTTTCATAACAACACAAAACGCGGACAAGTTTACTAGGTCTAACATCTCCACTCTCGAATAGTAACTAGTAAACTACAAGGTATTCCAACTATCTTGAATAACAATCTATAAGTTATTAGATACTTTTCCGTTCTTATGATTTAAATTTTCCTTATTGGATACTTAAATTAAGTAAACTCAGTTTTTGAGTTTCATCTTGATTGATTTTCGCTCATGTGATGTAAATTATTATTTTTTTGTCTTTCTTAATATTATTTTGACACTATCATAATATAATGAGATGAATCTATATTCTTATTTTCTTGGTCATCACCTTTTAAACAAAAAAAAAATGTCTAGATAGTTTTTGTTAAAGTCATACACAAATATACATGATAGTGTGTTCTAACTTTTATATTTTTTAAAAAGATATAACGAAAATCAATCGAATCGTATCAATATTGAAGAGAAACTGAGATAATTGAATGGTTATGAAAGTTAATTTTTGTTATATAAAATAAAATAATTGAAAAAATGATATGGTATAAATTTTATAAATTCTCTCAAATTGTATCCTTGATACCCCTAATAAATTTATACTATTTTTGGTTAACGGTATAAATTAATCCCAAAATAAATTTTTATTGTTAATAAAAAAATATATACATTTTATTTCAAATTTAATTCTAAATATTTTATTTTGTTCCATCAAACATTGAATTATTTTATCTTACCTTTTATAATTATAATCACATAACCACAAAAACGCATTTTGGGGAGAACCACCTAACTCTGAGTGCGAGTAATATTTCACCCCTAACTACAACTTACTCGCTGAACTTTCAACATAAGTCCAGTAGATCAATTCTAAGATTATAATTATAAAATAATTTAGTCCGCAAATTCAACGATTTCTTTCTTCTTCATGTTCTTCTTCTTTGTTTTATTTTCCTTATTTGGAAGGTAGGTAAAATTAAAGGATGGATGTGTCATGGTCAGAGGTCAGCATTGTGGAAAGTAGTCCCATTGGGTGTTTGTGAGAAGTAATATTTTTTTAATATTTTTTGTCTTTGACCAAACTTTGAGGGAGTATTAGGCTACACGAGATTGAATACTTCATCATTTTGGTGCATGATGTAAGATTAAATACTTAATACATAATATCAGGATCTTGAACACGATAATCTTACATAGAGATCGTTAGGGACACATACCTGATGAGGAAGACATAATCATAGAGAGAAGCGGAAGCGTTAGTCGTAAATTGATTTCTACCTCCTGACCCTAACTTTATGTTACCACAACCGTCAGCGATGAAATTATTGTAGAGAATATGTGGTAACCCTAATAGGTGGAGGGAGGACCAATTTATAGAGGTTATGACTTAATCTGGTACGTCCATCAAGTAACCAATGTACGGACGAGATATATTCCTTATTAAAATATTATTTATGGTATTACTTGGGTTACAAGTAAACTTGGGTCATAAGTAATAAATAATTAATAATAATTCTTACATTCTCCCACTTGGCCCAATGACCATATTATATTAATATTTCATACACATTAGTTGCTCATATAATAAATCTCTTCTATAATGTCCATCATACAT